TGAGTGCCTTTGTGTTTGCACACAACAAATCCATGGACATGTTCCTAATGAACCAAACTAAACTAGGTCCAAGGAGTTTTAGTTTAAATGAGCCAGAAGGACTTTTAAAGTTTCTGGAAAACCCACTTGTGCAAACAGCAGTTACAAAGGCCCCTTGCAACTAATGACCATGAGGGCAGCATTATAGCTATGTACTGTAGAACTTTTCTAACAGAGTTCATATTTTGTTATAGCATTTTAAAGTGTTTGTTTGAAATAACTATCCAAAGGCTATTGGCCTTTGGATTTAATACAGAAATTTTAGCTGAATTTGTTAACTGACAGTCTATCAAATTTAAATTAAAAAAAATATGAGGGAACACTGATAAACACACTGCAATGCAAGGCAATTCACCTTCAGGTATATGGAAGGATGCAAATGAGGATGATATGCTAGCTTTAATTCAACACTAAAAATGTAATTTATACATTCAATTTGTGCACTAGTGATAAACCACTCTAATTGCTTTTCTTCCAATGTCAATAAAATCCTCCTCACACTGACCAGAATAGCATAATTAATTGAAAGTACCAAGTATGCACTATTAATATAAATCCCTGGCACACGTACCAAGAAAAAAAAATTATAACATCTGTTTCCTTAGCTCCTTAGGTCAAGTAAAATAAAAAAACCCTAGGTGTCATTTAACAGCGCCACCTGCTGTCCAATTGTGAGCCATATTAGAAAGCTTGCAATGTTGCAAAGATTAATCCACCACTACAGAGGAAACTTCTATTGACATAAGAGCTACATACAGTGCGAAAGAGACATTCCAGAAAAGACAGGAGAGGAAATTAAGTTTTCATGAATAATACATTTTAGATTTGGCCTCTGTTACTTGGGATTAAGATTTCATGACTCAACCACACTAATCCAATTTGGGGGAGGCATTCAGTAGAGAGAGAACTTTTACTATCCAGTTACATTCACTGCTAGTGTTATAAATAATAAAACTAACAAGTGAACATAAGACTGAGCTTGGGGCAATGGACTTGAAAACTGAGCTTGGGACAAGCTTAAGGAGAGTTGTGGATATAATCAAACATTTTTGTTCAGAAGTTGAATTCTATTTAAAATGTTCTGCTTTTAGAAATGCTGAAAACCTTAAAACTTTTTTGTTCTTAAATAAAGGAAATTTGAGTTAATATCACCGTTAAATTTGCTAACTTCTGCTGCCCAGACATGCTTCAAAACAAAATTATTCAGCTGATCAAAAATTTACCAAATACATTCAATAAAAAAGTTACTGAAAACCATTTTTCATGGGGCAGTTAAAATTAATTTTAAAAGTTACTGATAAAATACTGTTGGCTCATCTCTTCCAGTAGAAATTAGAAAAGAAAATATGGACATGAGACATTTAAGGACACTGGTCCCCTGTCTCTCTAAGATGAGCGACTACAAAAAAAGGAGTAACTGATGGTGCCAAGGAATGAAAGGAGATGTGTGGAAGTCCCAAGTCTACAATTCAGAAAAATCTTCTCTCTACAGAAAATCTCCATGCTACCCTACTTTGGACATGTTTCATTGCAACATAAATGCACATACTTGTCACACAAACGTAATTTATTTATTTATTTATTTATTTATTTATTTTTACCTTTCCTTCTATTTCTGTGTTTGCCTTCTTTAGGGTCTTTAGATTTTCCCTTCTTTTCTTCCCCCGATTCTCCATCACTCACAGTTAGCTTATGTCTCAGCAGCCTGTGTCTATATCTAGGTTTCTTTGATTCTTCATCATCTGAATCTGATTCAGAATTCTCTTCCTTTTCATTCTCCTCTGTCAAAGAGAAAATTCAGCATAGAACTCATATTGGTAATGGCTTTCCCATTTAAATTCATTGTGGGCAAATGTTATGCATCATCAGGAAACTATAAACAAACACATAGCTGTATGTTGGTATTACAAATATTCTAATTTTGTATAAGACGACACATGAATTAGCAGCTATGCTTACCAGTAATATGTATGTCATGTATTTTAATGGTTCATCTTTTTTTAATGAATTGCATGTTACTCAATATACTCAGAGGTTTTATGAACTGGTTACAAAATCTGGCACAAAAAATAAAAAGATCTTGAACAAGTCAAAGAATAATCACAGAACCATGCAAACCTGCTGAACTGATCTCAGATTACAAGTGACTATTGATTTGTTAGGTTTAAAGTTGGCCAGAATTTACTGACTTTATTCTAATTTTCCACTGGAAACTTTTTGAAATTTTGACAGCTACTAAAGCACCAGTTTTTGTCACTTGTTGGTGCTCACCGTCATCTCCTGTGTTTTCATTTTGCTTTCCAGTTTTCTTTTTTCCTTCATCCAGCTCTTCATCTGAAGATGCATCCTCATCAGAGGAAAGATTGGCTTTGATTTCTTCTAAAAGCATTTTCTTGGCAATTCTTTGAAGTAAAACAAAACACACCTAAGTATGCCATTGCTTAAACAAATTGGTGAATGACAAATCTAGGCCTACACAATTCAGAACTTCAGAAAAAAAAGTAACTGAAAGCTGCACAAAAATGTGCATGGAGAAAAATAATGGCAGTAATGACAGGTTATCCTAATTTCTCATGTTTACATTAAGGTGTTAATCTGCTTTATGAAAATCTCTATAATGCTCTTTAAAAAAAAACCCTTAAATTTGGAGACGTTTTAAAAACGAAAAGCATGTTTAAAAATGTAAGTAACTTTTAGTAATTTGAACCTTTTCATTCTCTCCCCGCCCCAACGTCTTATACTTTTTTCAGGCCCCATTTTCTCTAGTCAGTTTTGCTGCAATGAGGCTGAACCCGTTCATCTTATTAGTTCTATTGGTTTCAAGAACATGAAGATGCTGTAGATCACATCCCTAAGGCACAGATCATCAAAGATACTTAAGGAATCTTAACTCCTTTGAGAATCAGTCCCTAAATGATTATGGACAGCAAAAGCTTTAGCAACTATGAAATGCTGGGTGATTTCTCACACACACGCACGCACGCACGCGCACACACACACACACACACAATTAATGGCTAAGGCAGTACATACTGAACTCCTAAATGA